TCTGGCAAAATATCAGTCTATGCAAATAGGCCGTTACTAACGATTTATGTGGATATATAAGTACATGGATTAATTTAGAAGACTTTCGGATTATATAAACCATATAAAATAACTCTTTATCGACATTAATTCACTCAGAAAGATCTAAGCGTTTTCCTGGGACCACCAAAGATGGCGACTTTTGGTGGGTACCCAGCCTGCCTAGTTGACATGAATAATTTGGACATATGTGTATTTCGCCTACTGACAATCGTAGAATGTAAACCAAGGTACTAGGTAACTGATGTGTGATGCCCCCCCCTTCGATCTAACTCTCTACTGAACAATGACCAAAATTTCATCTTTTGTCCACAGAACTTTTCTCCGGCTTGTTGGACACCCCAACAGTAGCTCCAAGAGATTCAAGTAAAAATTGAGACGTGTTCACATGTAGCTCATGATCAGAGACGTCAGTTAATGACATGTTTGGTTTTTGTGAGTTCATATTTAAAAAGTGCAAACTATTTTTTACAGTCCTTAAGGTGGTACGCGCCAAAATTTAAAACTGCGCAGGCGCAGCGCTCTCGCTAACATATATAAAGAGATTACAGGGTACAGGCTTCAGAGGTAAGCCAGGAAGGTGTACAACTATAGTCCCGTGTTGATTTCCCGTATAATCGTAACCAGGCAAGTTTCAACATTGGAATTGAAAATAACTATTAGATATACTATTAGATGTTTATATATGAAGGTATTAAGTGTATGCTTCAATCAAATGACTCATTTTGAACATATAAAAAGTATTTGTGTGTTGTTTCCCAGGGAATTGTATTTCCATGTAGTATACACATAAATAGTGTACATTATGTTGTACTTCAATAGCCTGGCTTATATAATATTGAATGGCATGCTAATTGTACACACGAGTACATGCATGAAGGCCTAATATTGATATTGCTTCCATACCTAAGTAAAAAATAAACTCTTCTAATCCCCTAATGTAAATACGGCGGTATACGTAGCCCGATTTATCGGGGGCTTTAAGGTGGTACTGTTTTTAAATATAGGATTTTTTCAATTTTTGTAAACCACATGGGCAGAAAACCAACTTATCCCCTTGTGAAATTGAGTTATAGAAAATGTAATAGTCAAAAGTTGAAATGAATAGAGAATAAATCTCTACAGAAATGTATTTTGACCTATCCACTGACTGTGATGGCATGTCTGCAACAATCAGCAAAAGTCAGCAAATCAGCAGAAATAAACAGCAAACAACAACACAGCAAAATTAGAAGAAAAATACCACTGCCACCAATGTAGTCAAAAACAAGAAGATTTGGTTAAACTGCATAAATTTCGTACAAGTTACATAATATACACATTTGACATTTATTATAAAAATAAGACAATGAATTTCTATGATAATCTCACATACATAAAAGAAATACATAATATCTATGTCAAATGAAAGAGAATAATTTATAGAACAATTAGCAATGTATAAAAAGAGATAATATTTGAATACAAAATAGATAATTTGAATTGAAGATGAGCATTAAGTATGAGATTCTGAACAAGTGAAGTAGGCAAAAATGTCGACAGTACCTTCGGGAGTGAAAGGGCCACGTGCAGAATGGCAAGTGATTTTAGACAGTCATATCTTTCACCATGAGTACTTGCTGGCCACAAATGCAGTGGGTTTTATTAAAACAATATGTTGTGAAGTCCCCATGATACTAAAATATCAATCCAACTCTCTGAAAAATTATGGATTAGGACCCCACCTTGTCACTTTTTTTGAAAAAAGTAAGGCTTATTTTCAAAAAAGAGGATCTCGTTTTTCTCAATTAAAACATATTAAAAGTCTCCTCTACATTAAATTAACAATTTCTGAAAAGGAGACGGGTATTTAAATGCGTTATAAAGTTAAAAACTACATCCCATGTTATTATCCCATAGGAAAACCCGTGCTATCCATTGTTTACAGCATAATTTTGGTCATGGAAAATGATATCTTCAAAACTAGACTTTCAATACTAATTTGATTTTTGAAGATGTTTTAGACCCCTTGTTAAATATTCTTGTCATGCAATAAAAATCAGAAAAGGGAGATCCTCTTTTGAGTAAATAGGTTCAATATTTTGAAATTTTGTTGACATGGGGTCCCTATTCATAATTTTTCGAATTGTTTAATTGATATTTTTATCATCACGGGTACATCACTTGAAAGAAAACATATTGTTTTAATAAAGAGTATTTATGCCCAGAAAGTACTCATGGTGAAAGATATGACCGTCTAAAATCACTTGCCATACCGCACATGGTCTTTTCACATTTGTCCATTGCAAACATTTCTATACAATTTTGGCATGTTTTTCAACTTATATTAAAATACATAATATAATACTAATTTAAAAAACTGTTGCAATTTTTGGGTCTGTGTGGGCCTCTTATGAACCCATTTGCCTGGCCTAAACATGTATGTGACCTGAATTGAGTGAGTATAAAACCGGTTTATCATGTATAGAAATCTGTGTTCGTGTAAGTTATATATTTCATTGTCAAGTTTTAAGGTGTTTCCCCTTTTTGTAATTTGGCACAAAAACATTGAATTTGAAGCAAGCTGGTCTTGGCCAGCAAATCACTAGACCATTATTTCCAGTCTAGATCTGTTAAATCAGAAACATATATCTCACTTATTTTATTCTATCCGGGTAACTCAGCTGTATAGTAGAATCCCAGCATCATCCCTTATAACAAAAGTGTCCCTCGTTAGACAGTAATATTTTATTTTATGTTATCTTATTTAATGTTAAGCAAGGAGGATTGGAAGCCGTTATTTAAACTCGATACTCCGTTTCCTGGCGTACACAAACAAAATCACTTATATCTTGAAAACTACAATTGCTAAGGAAGTTTGAATATTACTACAATACTCGTAATGACCATCTCATAACGAAATACTTGGTCAAAAGAAACCCTTATAAAAATATTTTTGCTGAATTGTTCCACTGCAGGCAACGAAGGATCGAGTTTGAAAATGGCTGCCAATCCTCATTGGTGTTATATAAGTGAACTTAGTCAACGAAAGAGAGTCAGTGAACTGTTAAACAGGTAAAACCTGCTACTATTTCCCAAAGGTCAATGTCAGGTTACCCCTTCGAATAAAACTCACATATAAAATACTGATATTTGAAAAAAGAGAATGTTTCCAATAGTGCGCTAGAACTAGGACCACTAAATTCACCATTTCCGTTAAGCGATGAACTGCTATTAGTGTCTCATGTAGATTCATGATTATAATAGACGATGACATTAGTCTATATCCAATAGACTGAATTTCCTGAGAATTCAGTCTATTGATCATTATGTCTCTCCTGTGGGAAAAAACAGGAAATTTCCTGCACACAATTATCAATTTTAGGAAACTTCACTTTCAAAAATAAGCATTATAACAATTCAATTAAGTAGTAAGGTACAATTAAATGCTATAAAAAGTAACACAGGATATTGTCAAATGGAAATAAAGCTAGGAGAAGTAACAAATATGCAAATTAATTTACCCAATCGGCCATTTTGAATGGCACTTCCTGTGTAAACAAATAATTTTCAATCCCATATTTTAACATATGTTGCCTATAGCCTGAATATTTTCATTCCAAATTCAAAAAAAATTCAGACTAGAGGATATAGTCTACGATGATCATCCTGTGGAAGTACGAATATCATACACAAGCCTATGTAAGTTATACATGAGATTACATGGCATTTTAAAACCGGTTATTATTCAATTTTAGATAACAAAGGTGGTCGAAATTGCCATGGGAAACTTTGAATAGATTAATCAAACTAATTAAACTAATTAAATATTTTATAGCAATAATATACTGTGTCTAAGCAAATAATGTATATATTTTTTATAGGAGTAGGGTATGCTATCCAACTGAGAGCTAGACCAGCATGGAAGCTAATCTTTTTAACCAATCATAACGTTAAATTTACAATCTAAACACGGTGATGGTTACAGCCTACCAATGCTATACAGTCTAGAGGATAAGGTATGAAAAGTGTCCCCTCGGTGGACACTAGCTTTTTCTTTGATGTTGTAATCTATTCAAAATGTTTAAGTGAGCTCAGTAAATCATCACAAAAGAAAGTCAGTGAACTGACAAGCATGCAAACCTACTAAAAATACATGATATATGTACAGTAGAATTGACACTGAATTTAAACTCAACATGTAAACCTAAATTGATTTTGTATGAATTTACAAATCAACTGAAGTTGTGATACTTACTCCTTGGTACTTTTCAGTGTTAAATAATTAATAATTATGTGTTGATTTAGTTTATCTGGAAGCTGTCCGAGGGCTGGGGGCTATATATATATATATATTATATACACAGGAAAAGTATTGAATAAATCAACTAATTAAATGTGAAATATCAAGTTAATATTGCATTACAAAATTATCAAGTTATCAGTGAACAGGCAACTTTCTAAACTTAATAAATACAGTGAAGAAATCAAATCATGTCTGAAACCTTTGTTAAACAGCCATGCCAATTAAACCTAAAAACGACTGGCGTAAAAATAATTTTGTTTGCGTAAAAGTCATTGTCTTCTCAATCATGACACTACTCCCAAAACAATTATTTTACAATTATTCCCTAACTAAACATGTCTGGAATTGCTCTCCTAATTATGCAATTTAATCTTAATAACAGACACACTGGTGATAATTAGTCCTGCTTGAAGATCTGACATAAATCATTGTTTTGATAAATACTTTTATCAAACTGCAAAATCATGGTTCTCTTACACAGTAATAATATCATATCAAAATATGTCTGAAATTGTTTTCTAATTAAGAGGAAAATCTTCATGATAATATCTGACATGGAGACTACAGGCCTAAAATTGTTGCTTTGTTTTGATAAGTAATTATTTAGTTAATTTTGTGAAATATGTATACATGTATGTAAACAGTTTATTTGTACAATGGTCATCTTAAAGAAACAACAAGATGAAGTTGGAATGAAGCAAAATGTGTCTTGGGAAATACTTCAATATAATAGATATTGATACAGTTTCTTACATCAAATCTGAAGATTTCATTCATTATTTAAAATCTCATCATTCGACAGTTGACACTCTGAAACGGATTAAGACAGCAAATGTAGAAAAAATCATCAAAAACTACATCAACAGAACCGCTTTATTATCAAAGGATGGCATTCAATATTTCACCGCAGAAGCAGTAACAAAGTATATATTTTCACATTCAGAACAATTGAGATCTTGTCAGCAAATAGTGGATGATATTGTAACACAAATCTCCAAGACATCTCCGACATCCTCACATTTATCAGAAAGAGATCTATACAAAAAACTTGCTTCAAAACTTTGGTTTTTTGAAGACAATGTATTATTGAAGAACGTGGAAGTGAGACAGTCTGACACTCTACAGATTCACTACAAGGACTTATTCTCTGATGATGAGTGGAAGGCTGTGTGCATCTTTGAATACCAGTTTTCGAAATATGTAAACATCAAAACATATAATTATGAGGAATTGCTGAGAAAAAAATGGGAATTTCTAAAGTTATGCAATGACTGTTTCAGTATAGGAGAAAGTCTGATTGGAAAAATTGAAAAGGATATTAAGCAAAACACCAAACGCACTGAATTGGCTGATCTGTACAATTCTGTCTACATCAGAGGCAAATCGAAACATCATGCATTAACATTAGACAAGGGCATTCTTGAGGAAATAAATATTTATTTTCCAAGAAGGATCAAGGAAATAAAAGTGTGCCCCACTGATATCACAGAAATCCAAGTCAATATTGAATTGAATGGTGAGGAATGTAGCATTGATGTATCTAACTTTTGTAACATCATAGAGCATTATCTCACAAACCAACATAATATACAAAGTGCTGAATTGAACATTTTTAAGGAAAAAACATTTGATAACTTCAAGTATAGAGAGGAAACAAGCCGATTTGAAGTGAGGGATGCAGTTATCCTTAAAAAGCTGAAGAAAAATTTATTGTTTACAACAGTTGTGAGGTCTGAAGTGACAGATGAAGGCACAGAAGATGACTGCAATATCTGCTTTCCTTCTCCAGAATCTGAGGCCCTGGATCGTCGTAACACTGATTTTGTCAGTGAATGGACTGTTCATGTGCCAATTGAGATCCAATGTATTCTTGGGCCATTCTTCAACAAAAGATCGTACGCCAAGTCACAAGACCCTGAGAAGTATTTGTCAGCAAAAATAACGCGTTTGTACAAGGTTTATGATTGCCTTCTCAATGTACATGATAAGAACTATATCAATGTCAACCAACTGGCCAACACAGAAGACCTGATACTAGGTTGTAGAAATGTAGGGACAGTATTCCAAGTGACATCACAGAATGGCATAAGTACAAGTCAATCTGCAGCTGAGCGGCATGTCATGGACTTGGCATCTCCAGACAATTGCTATTTCAACTGTTTCCTTAAAGAACATTCACTCTCCTATGAAACACATGCTGGTGAAGTCAGTAGACGTATTTGCCTCAGAGACTGTTACAACATTCTTCTACTAGACAATCTTGTCAGATTAAGGCACAATGAAGATACGCACCGTTCAGACACAAGGTCCAAACAAATGAATACTATTCCCGTTACTATGCAGGTATGACTAATTATTTCATTTGTGTGTGTATTTGGAGACAAACATATTTATTATCTTATCAAATTTGAATGTTAAATAGAAAAACAGGAACTCCAAGGAGTAGCAAATCCCACCGAACAAAACATATTTTGATAATAAGTGGCCATATAGAAAATTCCTTCTCGAGCAAAGGTCCTACACCCACAAGCCTATAAAATGATAATAAGTGCTTTTTGATTAGAAACCTAGAATTTTCTTAAACTCTGATCTTTATGTAAAACGCAATCGTGAGTTGTTCGATGTCCCTGGTGATATTTTGAGCTAAATTGAGAGGATATACGCTGATGAACAATTGGGGTAAAGAATTTGCACAAATACTCAGGATAAAGGCGTCATTATCACGATTGTTTCTTCCATTGCTTTGATGTTCGCCAGCTGTCCGATTTCTTGGAAATTCATCTCATATTCATTAGAATATTATGTGACTTGTACATTGAATTCGTTTGGATGAGTAGAGCTGATTGACCACTCTCAATGCATTCGACTCATGTGGTCTAGGGGGAAAATGCTTGTTTTCCGCGCGGTCATACCACGTTTGACTCCCGGCTTATCCAAAATGACATTTTATTTTTTGTTGTGCCTTTATTCTGCACTGGAAATACCGTTATCATAGATGTCATTTTAATATATAGGCATCATAATCTTGTCAGTTGTCGAATTTATAAAAATATAAAACTACATCCAAATATTGCGTTTTACATAAAGATCAGACTTTAATAACAAATAAAGAGTGGACAAATCTGAAAAGTGCTCATTTTATAGGGGTTGCCAGGAGACTGGATTGGAATTGATGAGTGGCACTCAACAGATTGTGACAATGCTACTCCTATATGCTGTTGTATGAAATCTACAAAGCCTGTGCAAGAGGACATGCATCAATCCATTGTCAATCTGAATGATGCTGAGAAGGCTGCCCAAGGATCATTTGAACAGTTACTTGTTTGGGGAAGCACAAGACTTTGGCAGAATCTAAGCCAAGAGAGTAAACTTCTTGAAACAATTCAAAAGAGTGTTGATCATGATCCCAAGGAATCTCTTACTAACCAGGATGAGCTTATTGGATTAGCGACAAACGTCTTCCAGTTGGACATTAACACAGATGACAACATTCTTCCAGCTGTACTTGAAACACTCCAGAACATAGATGCCACAGTATCTTCAAATACGCAAGCTGTATCTGATCCGCAACTACAGACAGGTGTGAGAGGGACTAAGCCAATTAACTCTCAGGTGAATGAACTCCATTCTAACCTTCTCAGTTCCGATGATGAAACTGATTCTGTTATTTCAATGTGTGAACCGTTGAGTACTTCATCATCAGACATAGAAATTGACAATCCTTTATTCTACAATGGGGGAAGTTTTGAAAAATCAAGTCCTTCTGTTATTGAAAATAAAGTGGGTCAATCTAATTCTATCAGTCTTAAATGCCCCCAGAAACTGCTAGATAGTCTTGAATACCATGTGCATGTAAAAAGCTCAAAGGATGCCAATCTCCAATCCCCTGTACAATGTTCAGATGACGTTAACATGGAAGCCCCAGAACAATACTCAAAGGATTTTCTCAAATCACCAATAGAACAACACTCACAAGATGTCAATATGTTTTATCCTATTCAGTCTTCAAATGATGTCATCACACATTCCAATGAATATGATACTCTTGATGATATGGATGAAATGCTTCCTCGTCACGATCAAAATATGGATGATGCTTCTGTTCAATCAGACTGCACTTCTTATGTTATCCCACATATATTTGGATTGAAAAAACATGTAGCACCCCCATTACTTTGCCTTCATCCATCACCATACATTGGCAAAGATGACGATATTGGGAAACTGAAGGAGATTTTGGATGATATATTAATTAAATTGGGATATCTAAATGAAGACACGTCAGCATACAGAAAAGTACTTTGTGGCCCTGATAACAAGATTGGCAACAATCTATTGAAACTCATCAAGTCAAACCCGAAATATGAAGTGTTTATAGCAGAATTTCCATGTCTTCATTTAAGGAAATCAATGATAAACACAATTTTCAAATCTTATTCACAAGCTGGAATTGTCGAGATGCTAAGGTACTTGAAAGATGATGACAAAGCTGATTGGAACAAATTACTGTCTGCTGCAAGCATTGAATCTGCCCAACGATATGTCAAGCGTCTATCACCCAGTCTCCATATGTCAGTTATGATTGGATTCATGTATTCGCTACCCCCATTTGAAGCATCTGCATTACTTAATGATCTGAGAACAGAAAAGCCATCACACAATGCAAAAGAGTGGCAAGAACGATATGACAGATACATAGAGACAAAAAAAAGAAGTCGATGCCACATTTTGCCTTCATCTGAACATGATGAAACATATGGATGAATGCTTGGCTGTCTCTTTAGCGGAACGATTAGGAGGTAAAGATGGATACGCCCTTCTCCTAGCCACAGTGAAGAATTACCTTCCATATGCATTCATCAATCAAGCAACAAGCTATGCGCCATTTTGTCTACGCCTTCTCCATGAACATTCTCGTTGTGGCCCGTTTTATAGAAATCTCAAAGAAAACCTGTTTTCAACTCCAATACGTGGATCGAATGTAAATTTTGCATGTGACACGAAAAAAAGAGATGTAACAAATCGATATTGTAAAGAGCTTCCGATCTGGCTCAACTGTAGAGACTGCTACTAGACGGATGGCCGTGTTTGACATCATTGGAAATAGGGAGGTACAACCTAAGACTAGCCAGAACAAATATGATGATCTTGGATGGCGAATCACAGACAAAGATTTGGAACATGTTACCCCTACAGTTATGCTTACTCTTGAAAAAGGCACATTTACCTCAGATGAAAATGTTTTACTCCCAACTAATGCCTATGATTCTAATACTACAACCCTGAATCCAGGTATTCTAGATGAAAATAGTCTCCCCATAGGAACTTTCATGATGATGAAGCATGTTGCTAGGGAAGGGCTTTTTGATTACTCGGAGCACAATCTACCTTCTATGAATATTGGTCCTGTATCCAAAGACTTGGCAGAAAAGGCCAAAAAGGCAAAAGGAGTGACTCTTAAAAGATCCTCGGTAATGAAATGTCCAACAACTCAGTCCTTACAAGACAAAAAGGAGAGACTACGACAAAGCAAAGTGCGAAGGGAAACCAACAAAGTTATTGCCCTTTCATCAGAAATGAACATGTGCCAGGCTTTAGTCAATGCAGAATGCAAGAAACGGAAGATTAATAAAGCCAGAGGTATTTCAAATGCTTTGTTTTACATTCTGAAACAATATGGTGCCATGATCCAAGAAAATGTGATGATAGATATATCAGATGTCCCGGCCTATATAAGTGCCAATGCCAGATTTGTAACCTGTGAATTTGCAGGTGTCAAGTTTAAACTAAATCCTGAAACGGGAATGGACTACCTGAGGAGAGTAAAATCATCAATTATAGACAATCTTCGTCGACAGTTCCCATCAATGAACCATCTGGTTATCTGTGAAGAGAAATACTCATTCACACCAGATGGATTTAAGGCACAAACACGTGATCAGAGGAAGAAGCTGAAACAGCATAGTGTTTCTCATTTAAAACAGCAAAATGAAATGCTGACCTTGAAAAAGTACAATAAAGAAATGCTGATTCAAACTGAAGTTGGAAAAAGGGCTATTAGTGTCTTTTTAGCTGAACACATCAAACAGATATCAATTAAAACAGACCTCACAATTGACATTGATAGTGAACTGCATAAGGCTGGATGTGCTTGTCAAGAAGACAATCATCATGGAAACTGCCCATTCCTCTATGCCATCCCGATACGTGCAGTTTACTCAAAAGAAACTGGAATCCCTAATATCCAACAGCTTCCCATCCGTCAGCAAAAAGGAGAAGGCGAAATGTCTCAAGTTGACTGGTTGGTAGAAAATCAGGATGTTTTTAAAGACGGGGATTGTGCTGTGTCCTATGTCACATCAGGAGACATCGATTCCATTATAATTCACTTATTTGTTTTGTCCAAAATGTGGCCCAGAGATACAACAGGTCAGACATTCACTACCCCAGTTTATGTCTGTCTACAGAAAAAAGAACAGAAACTTGATATCTATAACATCACTAAGATTATAGAAGAAATTGAAGCACACCATGGTCGTTTTGCATGTATCCAGCTTGTAATTTACCTTTCGATAGGAGGGAATGATTTTATCCCAAGTTTGTTTGGGCTTTCACATCAAAAGATCCTAAAGACTATCTTAGACACCCAAGATATGTTTGCCAATCTTGTTACTATGAATGACAACTGCTCAGAAATAAAACTTAATACTGATTTGTATCTCAAACTGATGAAGGATCTATATAGACCAAAAAAGATGAAAAAAGATGCCACTTATGAGGAAATCAGAGAAGCAAGCAAGACCTTGAAAAATGGTAGAGTCAGAAGTCCTGAACAGTGGCTCCCACCTGAATCAGACATGAAAACAGTGGCTAGTGTAATAGAACTACACATAGAATATCTTTCTACTGCTGGGATTCATGGTGCCCATCTACCTGATTTCATGTCTCGTGGTTGTTTAGTTACCTTATCAAATGGAAAAGTAGGATACAATTTTGGAACAGGCGGACAAAGTAATCTAGTCATGGAACCAGATCAGTTACCTTCAGTCACTGTAACACCTAAGAAAGAAAAAAAAACGTTTGAGCAAAAATACTCCTCAAAAAGGAAAAAGTAGAAAAAAGGCAAAACCTTGAGAAAGTTTTTAATGAAATGAGAAATGGCCCACTTTATTTTCTATCTATCATTTTATTGTTTCTGAAGTAATATTGGGTATAACCACAATGTAATATACACAAATATACCTGTAACGATGAAATGTGAGATAGATAAGATTATCATATTATATTGTTAAAATATAATTATTTGATGAGATCACAAAAGTCATTTACAAATTGTACAATTAAATTATAAGCTGCATAATTAAGTGTTATTGATTTACATATGTATGTGGAATGTATGAGTGATTACAACTATTCTAGCATTTATTGAAAACCCAAAACTATAATTGTTTTAAAACTAGCCCTGACAAAATACAGGCTGTATTTTCAAAACTGGTCTAGATTTCTTATAAATTATACAAAATGCATCATATTAGCAGAGTACTTCAAATATGAGATAGTAACAGCATAATTAATATTCAAAGAACAATGTTTGTTGCTAGAATATAGAACAATAAAGCCTATGATCGATGTTCTAATTATTTTTGAATAAAATGATAAATCAAACTATGTTATTTCAAACATTTATCATCATTGTCATATAGTTATGGATTCATTCTGTTAATTTGCATGTAAGAAATGTTTCATTGTTTTTTCATAACTCTTTTTATATTTGTATGTAAATAAACATTAAAGATATAGCTGGATATATAAATCAAAAATAAGTGAATCACTTAAGTTGTCTAGTTTTTAATCTTATGGCATGTAGAATATAACCGTTTGATTCATTCTGTAATTTTGCAGTATTCAGTTTCAGTATTGTTTTATTGTTTTTCTCTTTGATAATTCACAACTTTGATAATTCATCAATTTACGTATTTCATGTGTATGATAGATAAATGAATAAGAGAAACATGAAGAAAATTAATATGATGTTGGATTATTTTTACAAAATATGGAATGTAAAATTAACAATCAACAAATGTATTCTGAACCCAACACAAGCCATAATACATTTATAACATATAACTTCTACAGCAGTTACGGTCACTGGTTTCCTTACCTATTCACTGAACCCATTAACTGTGAAAATTCTGTGATCTATGGAGTGACCATGATCCGCCCATAACAGTGGGAGGTCAGGTCTGTTATGGTATCACACTCTGGTGGTTTTACCTTATCCTCTAGACTGTATATATAAAATTGCACAATTAATGTCATTGACTCATACGGTAGGAGGCCGAGCGAAAACGAAATAAGGTAAGCGAAGTTTATTTGGTTTCTTAAATCGATGATAAAAACTAAAGAGGTTGTCCCATGGACAAAATAAAAGTTTAGAGCAAAATTAGTTACTCAGAAACTTGAATGGTTTTGCCCAAATATCATATACTTTTCAAAGTTTTAAATATCCGGCACCATATCTTCGAAGTAAATAATTTAACGTTAAAAGCCATGCATTGTAACTTTCAAACTTATAGATAGAACACACTTTAAACTTTATCCTGTTAGCACCCTAGACCATACTTGATCGAGAGTCATTTTTTAAGTTGGAAAATCCCAGTTTATTAAAATCGTCTCCCTGAAGATAAAGCAATTCGCAAGACATAATCATTATCCAAGGGATGCACAAGCCAATATACATTCTTGTTATACAAGCTAGGGTATCAGTGAACATCCCACTATATAAGAGCATACTTGATCGAGGGTAATCGAAGTACAAAACAGTGATAGTCAACCTATGCCTGCCATTACCCTAAATCTTGTCGTATCAAAATATCAATTTTCCCATTAAGCTCCTGAAACTGGACCTTAAATTAATTGTGAAATGGATTTGATTGTCAAAAAAGTACACCTGCGGGTATCAGTTCCTAGAAACGATTATTTGGCATGTCATTTAGCTACTTTGACTTTGGTGCTGAACAATTCTGTAACTAGTTTTCTGGGTGGCCTGGGTATTCATACGATTAAGCAGTACAGGGGCAAAAAAGCAAAAGGAGGGAAAATCCGGACCCTTTTTGCTGAAAATATGTTCAAAATAAAAAGGAATACCCAATGAGGCCAGTTTATTATCAAAATTGCTCAGTTTATGTCGGAATAAACATATTCTGGGCCCCTTAAATCTTTCGGACCCGCCAATGAGGGGGCTAGATTTTCTAAGGGCCTATCAGTATATTTGCTATTTTTGCGTTTTTTCTCTTTTATAGTAGTTTAATTTCCACTGCAATTTGTAGCATCTGCTGTAGTTTCCGTACGGAGAAAATAAGTGGGATTGTATACAAGTATATAGTACTTTCAAATGATAATTTTTTGACGGCCAATCGTTTGTGTCATTCTAAATTTCAATATAACATCCAATCGGTTTAAGAATCCATTTGATTGATAAATGTATCTAAAAGGGAACGCATAAGGTACGGCGGCCGTATTGTGGCAAGCTATGACCAACGAACGGTTGGCGTCAAATATGACTGAAACGCTATCCCGGAAACATATTTAGCGTTACTCAGGTTGAAGTCATTGTATATACACCTCTGTCTGCTTATGTAGCAATATTGTAGTATATATCGCGACGCAATTATTCTATTTTTTCTATTTTGACAATCAAATCCTTTTCACAATTAATTCAAGGTCCAGTTTCAGAATCTTCTAATGCTTATGGGAAAATTGATATTTTGATACGACAAAATTTTGGGTAATGGCAGGCATAGGTTGACTATCACTGTTTTGTACTTCGATTACCCTCGCTCAAGTATGGTCTTATATAGTAGGATGTTCACTGAACTATAACAAGAATATATATTGGCTTGTGCATCCCTTGCATAATAATTATGTCTCGCGAATTGTTTTATCTTCAGGGAGACGATCAGGAATTTTCCAACTCGCCCAAGTTTTAAAAAAATGACCGATTCAGTAGACTATAGCCTAAACCGGTTTTTTGGAAGGTTTTACGTAACACTTAATGATTACTTGCCAATAGGCACGTTGATGGGCTGGGGCATCGTACGTTTAATAACTGACCTGGTTGAAATGCATGTAGATGTCTTAAACTTTGCCAAAATCAACTGGAGATAGTTAGGTTGAACAAACTTCTTTTATGTAAACGGCATGACGAAGGATGGGCCTTATGCCTTGGTCACATTTGCTCCAATTTTCACTACGGCGCCCGGCCGATTGAGTATTTTGTTCAAAATTAAATACAATATTGAACAAAACACTCAATCGGCCGGGCGCCGGCCGATGGACCAGAGCATATGTGACCCAGGCATTACATTGGCAATGAACCTCGATGTAACGAACCTAGATATTGAGCAACTGACCTCTTTAGAAACAAACGATGATGAAGTTTGTCCTATGATTTCATTTATCGTTTGAAAGGATGGGATTGTGCGCCTTTTAGATCTGGCCTCCATTTTTTTCTGTAAAAAGTGCCGATTTTAACCAGACAATTGTATTCTTGGGTCAAAGTATGTGAGATCCATTGCTTCAATAAGAAAGGGATGCTCATTAAAAGGTAGTTGGCAACGTTTCATGTCAAAGGGGAATTTTGGCCCTTAAAGTGGTAATGAAATTGAAGTCAGAATCCCTCCCAGTACCAGGCTTCTACTCTAAAACACAACAATACGAGTAGTCGTTTTAAATGCAAAGCTATCGTGATATTACTTTAAAATGCGATTCTATAAGATAAGGTTGTCAAATTCTGAAGTAATTCTGACTCAACTGTACCGGTATATGAGCCGGTATATGAGCGTTAAGATCATCGTTATATAATTTTTGAATAAGTTCAATTGTCTTCGTAAAACTTTATCAAGCAAGTGTTAAAAAAGGATACAAAATTACTTAAAAACGATGTGAAATATAAACGTACAATCAAAAACTACTTTTATTCATATTTTTATGTTTATATTTAAATTAAAGCAAAGAATGAGTCATTGCCAAACCAGGAAACAATACATTTCACTATCAGTTTCACCTATGATCATGTTATAACTTTATGGGAATAGCGATGTATGTAACCGTTACATTCCTATTCCACATGCTATATGCTTTCTTTTTATTTCCATGACCGACACATAACCATACAACTTACTTTGAATGATGTTGATGTTTCTCATTCCCATATTCCCTCATTGCTCACGCTGTGTGTTTTTTCATGATATTATATTTTGAGTGAATGCCGATTTATTTAAATTTGGCAGATTTAGGGCCCAAAAATTAGAAATAGAAAGAAAGACGTTCAAGATCACAGAAGCCCCCTAGAGATGTTGTGGATATAATCACCGACTGTGTACTAAATTAAACGTGACAGTTGAACGCGCAGTGTAAGTTACAACACGAGACTGGTGAAATATGAACAAATTATTTAATGTTAATCCTGATTTTAATGCCCATGATATGGTGTTCGGAAGATCTGTAAATAATGAAAACGCTTTGCTAAATAGGATGTCACTAGTAATCAAATATTACAAGGGCCGAGCAATATATTCGCTACTTTTTGCTCTCAAATTGTTAATAATAAAGTATCTTACCTGAAATTTTCCAAAATAATAGAAAAAACATTTTTCTGTAATATCACCAAATGTGCATTTACTTGGTTACATCCGTAATATTTTACATGGCATTGAATATTGGTTGATAGTGACCACCGGAGCTGACATTTGTGACAATGTTTCAGAAAACAACTTTTATACAAAATGTCCTTTTTGTGAGGTATATCCAGAATTATGGCAATGTCTATACTTTCTATACATTGTCTATACTTTCTATACTTTCGATCTCCTTTTTCATACTATCTACCTTCGACGTTTCTATACTTTCTATACTTTCGAACTGCTTTTTCATACCAACTGCCTTTGACAAATCAGATGTCTATAGTTTCTATACTTTCGAAATGCCCTTTCATACTAACTGCCTTTGACAAAGCAGATGTCTATAGTTTCTATACTTTCTATACTTTCGATCTGCTTTTCCCCATAACTGTCTTCTACAAATCAGATGTCTATAGTTTCTATAGTTTCTATACTTTCGATCTGCTTTTTCCTATAACTGTCTTAGACAAATCAGATGTCTATAGTTTCTATACTTTCTATACTTTCTATCTGCTATTTCCCAGAACTGACTTCGACATATCAAATGTCTATACTTTCTATACATTCGATCTGCTTTTTCCCATAACTGTCTTCGACAAATCAGATGTCTATAGTTTCTATACTTTCTATACTTTCGATCTGCTTTTCCCCATAACTGTCTTTGACAAATCAGATGTCTATAGATTCTATACTTTCTATCTGCTTTTCCCCATACATGTAAAGACGTTATTTATTAATGATCAGTGAAAATATGTGCCGATCGACGCAATGTCGGGTTATATATAACAAACGCAAATTGTACGAAACATTTCAAATATACAGTATTTTGAGCTGGCTTATATTTGTTAAAAGTCAATGTCTAATTAAAATACTGTGTTCGAAGAGTAGGATTATAAAGTATTTATACGTTTGGCGTACAATCTAAATGTACAGATATCAGACTAAAAAATAATCTGTCCCCATTGTAATTTACCCTGTCCCTTGTGCCGATCGGCGCAACATTCGATGCACCGACAGAATTCCCCATTGCAACGATCGGTGCATCAATCGGTGCATCGAACGCGCCGATCGATGCACCGAAATGGGTGCATCGATGCACCGATGGATGCACCGAAGTTCTGCGCCGCGATGCATAATTATAAGATCTTCGGCAAGACCTGTACTGTAACTGTCTTCGACAAATCAGATGTCTATAGTTTCTATACTTTCTATAAAACAGGATCTTAAGAGGTTCTGGACAAATCATTTGATTCTGGACTTGTCATATTTTTTTTTCAACGAAATCACATCCAAGGGTTGAATTTTTATTAGCTATTTAGAGAGTGAGTCCTGCCTAGTATTAATTTCAATAAAAAAGTTAAAATAGAACCCTATTTGAGAGTCAATCTAATACTTACATTACATTGATAAATTAAGGCAAATCCTGAAATATTTTTAAAGTGCGTTTTTTAATGAAATATTATCCAGCAAGTATTTAAATGAAACGGTCTTATTTAAATACAAATCATAACATGATATTTTTCATGAAACATTTTTCAATGAAATTCAATTGAAGGGTCAAGATAAAACGAGCTAATTTAGGTGAAAACCCTTACATGATGATGTGTTTTCATAACTTCTTTCATAAAATTCCATCAAGGGGTGAAGATAAAATGATCGAATTTAAGTGATTTAAGG